AGTTACATTTAAATTAAAGGTACTATGACTGTGATTGACAGAATGATGTCAATGAATATTCATTTATTTTGTTTTCAGCTCTAAACCCAACTAGTATCGCACCAACACCCTGTGAGTACCTTTTCTTTTAAAATGAATTTAGTTTCAGCTGTTCTACTCCGATTAATTTTTTGTGATTTCTTCGTAAACAGGACGAACTGAAATGCATGTGTAAGATTAAACCGAAGACACTCTACCACTTCTAAAATTCTTTATTCCTCTCTGATTAAATAACTGAAGAAATAGCCGTCTTGAGAAAATTGGATGAACGATCCACAAAATACATCTTATGTCTGAGCCTAAAAATGTAATTATGCATTTTTTTAAAAATAATACTTAGTGGTTATGAATTTCAGTACTTAGTACCGTCATTCTTATTTATTCTTGCTTTTTAAAGCCCAGTCTATTGCCGCCGTTACCCCGGCTATTCCTGGTAAGTGACGCGCGGTAAAAATCAAAACATACCCTTACAACATTTTAAGTGAAGGTGTTAATTTGGATGCTACATGGTGTGAATTTCTATGAAGTTTAATTGGAGCCAGCTAGATAGCTCTCGGTTCAGAGTTAAACGATTCCGCTGACCACTAAATCAGTGTAAAAGATGGTGTTAACTGGATTGATGGTGGCAAACTTCCTGCATAGTACAAGAATAGGAATGTAGAATGTGTGTTTTTGCGCAGTTAGGATGTAAATAAAGATGGTAAATTAATTTGAAACTTGGTTATGTAAATGAACGCTGAGAAAATGCTTTTCTCAAGGCCTTAGACCTATGTCCTATCTGATGCGAGGATACTTTGCTGGCGCGAACTTTCCAGATAACTATCCAGTCAGCGTGAATACAAATAGACGATCACTATAAATCATAGACCAAAGAATCCATTTAAGTTCAATATAGTAGTTTTTTTTATATATATTTAAATTCTCTCTCTCATAGGAAACTGTTTCCACCACCTCAACCAACCTTCGGGTAGCTTTGAGAGTCCAGGCAAACCAGGTTGTTACCCGAACAACAAGCACTGCGCCTGGCTGCTCGAAGCTCCTGTTGGTCAATACATCGAGCTACGTTTCT